ATCACTTCACCTCCTACAACCTCGCTTCCTCTCTCCCATATCCCTTCCACCTCCTCACATCCACCTGACTCAATCCCACTGTCGCGTCACCTCCCACAACTTCACTCTTTCTACCTCTCTCCTAAACCTACCACATCTCCTCACCTAACATCACCCAAACCCTCACAAGCATCTTTACTTCGCCGAGGCTGTAAACTCCATAATAATATCAAACTAAGCTCACCCAAACTCCCAAATCATCTTTACCTCGCCGGGGCTGTTAACTCCATTTCAACCTAAGCTCAGCCTAACGTCATCCGAAACCCCGCGACTATCTTTACCTCGACGGTATTGTAAACTCCATATCAACCTAACCTCACCCAAACCCCGCAACCATATTCACCTAACCTCACCTACTCCCCAAAATCATAAAATCATTATTGTTACCTCGCCGGGGCTGTAAACTCCATAATAATATCAACCTGACCTCAGCCTAACCTCAACCAAACCCCGGCAACCCCCTTTATCCCGCCGGGTTTATAAACTCCATATCAACCTAACTTCACCCAAACCCCGCAAAAATCTTTAAGAAGCAGTAAACTCCATATCAACCTAACTCACCCAAACCCCGCAACCATATCCACCTAACCTCACCTACTCCCCAAAATCATTATTGCTACCTCGACGTTATTACAAACTCCATATAAATCTAACATCAGCCTAACTTTATCCAAAAACCCCACAACAATCTTTACCTCGCCAGGGCTGTAAACTTCATGATAATATTAACCTAACCTCACCCAAACCCCGCAACCATGTCCACCTAACCTAACCTACTCCCCAAAATCATTATTGTTATATCGCCGGGGCTGTAAACTCCATATCAAGCTACCCTCAGCCTAACCTCATCCAAACCCCACAACAATCTTTGCCTCGCCGGAGCTGTAAACTCCAAAATAATATCTACCTAACCTTTCCCATTCCCTAAAAGCATAATTTCTACCTCGCCTCGGCTGTAAACTCCATACTAATCTAACCTTACTCAAACCAACATAATATATCTTTTCCTCGACGGGGCTGTAAACTCCATACCAACCTAACCTCAGCCTAACCCCAGCAACCCCCCTTACCTCGCCAGGGCTGTAAACTCCATAATAATAACAACCTAACCTCACCTATTCCCTAAAACTATAATTTCTACCTCGCCGGGGCTGTAAACTCCATATCAAAGCCGAACTGGTTCAGATAGTACTCCACGTT